CTGCATAGCCCAGAAATGAGGTCCCTCACCACCACCAACTCACCAGGATGACTGAGCTGAAAAGCCGCGGCCCCCATACTTACAACCTGAGGTCCTATTACACTGAAAGCAGATGGGGCCAGCCAAGAGGCCATGTGGTATTTGTCTGGAGAAGATCATTAGTCTCTGCAAGTGATTGCGTGTGTGTGTACATTTTTTTTTAAAACAGTGAAACTTAGGAAGTGAGGATTTCACCTTTTTTCCGGCATAAAATATAAAAAAGAAAATACGTTAGCACTATTTTTCAAACTATACATTTCAAATGGTTGCCCATAGTTTCTGAACACTTCACTTCTCTTGCCCATTTGGGGAACATCTATGTTATTTTTAGCAACCCCCCCCCCCATTTTGAATCACAACCGTTACATTAGTCAGGTTTTTCTTTTTTTCAAGCAGAGGACTTTGTGGTAATATCAAATTAACTCTTTTAAAAGTTGGCTGTGCATTTTGTATATTTTTTTCGTAAATTGAATCTTAGGTTTGGCTATAGTATTGTTTAATTTTATTCTACAAACAAGGAATTAAAGTTGTTTGATCTGAGCATGCAGTTTTATGCAAATATATACAAAGTATATGCAAGTTATCCTTCATTTTAACTACAGGGATCTTACCTTCCATTTTAAGACACTACAGATTCTGTACTTCAGAAGGAAGTAAAATTTTTAGAGGGCAGATAGAAGGGTAGCTTTCCTTTTCATTACTCACTGCAGATTTGAAGATGGATCCAATTCATGGAGTATGGTGGGCCCCTCATCCAACATTTGCTTGTAGAAAGGGAAATATGGGACAGAGACTCTTAGGCAGGATGAACTCCGTGTGAAGACGGAAGGTTTTGCTACCACAAGCCAAGAGACTGTCAGGAGCTAGGAGAGAGGCCTGAGCAGAGCCACCCCAGGGGCCTGCAACACCTTGGGAGTTTCCAGCCTCCAGAACCATGAGACAACAAATTGTTATTATTATGCACTTAGGTTCACCATAGTGCAAACTTCCAAAGGAGAGTGGGTGGACCAATCAGAGATGGAATGGGTCCTGTGCTTACTCTGTGATCTCAGGTTTCTCAGACTCTTAACCTGTCTGAATTCATTCTGCCTCATTCTCCTGTTTCCAGTACAACAGAGTAACAAATGTAGGAAGTAAAATCAGGGGTGCCTTCAGCAAAATGCAAAAGGGACACTTAGTAGAGACAAAAGATAAAACTCCCAATAGAGAGGAGAGTAGGTTTAAGATGTATGATCATTCCCAATACTTGGATGAGTAAAGAAGTTTACAAAGTATTTTATACATGACTGGGCAACTTTTTACCAACCTGAGATTCTTCTGGATTTTTCTTCCTTGATCATTCTGTTATTTCTTGGGAACCTCCCACGTTTCTGCCCCAGGATCCTCTTCAACATGGTGTCGTTTGGCTTCCCCAGTCTTCCCAAAGAGCAAGGGACAAAGGGAGAAAAGCTGTGGACAAATTAGAGAAACTCCTTCCTGCTGCAGCAGAAGCCATTCCGAGAACATGTCTTTGAGAAGTGGCCACAGCATCCCCTCTCTAGGCATCCCTGGATAGAATACCTAAGTTTGTTAAAGCAATTTTTTTATTTGACTGTGTGGAAAATGGAAGTAACCTAGCAAAACATGAGGGATGAGGCATTCCAGTTTGAATCAGATTTTCTTCTTGACTCAGAACTTGGCAGGAAATATTTGATGGAGAAGTTTTATTTTCTTCTGAATGTGGTTGATTAAAGATTTGTCTAGGGCCATTGGCTACTCTCACCTGTGTATTATTTTGCCTGTCACTTGGGAATTAAATATATTATTGGAATATATTTAAAGGCCCCGAGAGACTCAAGCAGTGGGAACTAATGTGCATGTAAAAAATCCAGAAAAATACAGTGATGTATATTTCTTGGCTTTATGATTCATCAGGACAGGCTGAAGTAGTTAATGCTGCCCTAAAAGAGAGCAATTTACTCTCCTCTCATAAGTAGGACTAGGGCCAATAAACTGTTACAAAGTGTAATGTTCAGGACATACATATAACTCCACTCAAGGATAATGTTCTGCATATAACTCATGCGGTTAGTTCTGATCAGTCCCCCTCCTGTGAACATACAGTGCTAATAGGTCTACTGTGGCCTTTAAATTTCCACCCACATTTTGATGCATACATTCACCAGAAAGCACAAATTATTAATCAGAGTAGCCTTTTATGTGCTTCTGTTATTTGTACCCAGAATCATCTGGAGTACAAAACAAGAGGAATAAAATTCAGAGGTCAAATGATGCCCAGTTTGCCATAAGAGATTGCTGGGGTGGGGGGGGGGGGGGAGGCAAGATGAAACTTTTCACCATCTACTTACTTCTAAGACTCTGCTCAGGTTTCAACTTTCTGGCTGCCTGTTGCTAGCATATCATGTGAAATTAGCTATCAGGCATTTGAAGGTGAAAAGCTGATTTTACAGCTCATTGAAGTTCTAAAGGATGCACTGCACTTAATTAAGATAGTTCTTTACATAGTATTTAAAAATATTTATAATGCTTTGCAGGCTATCAACAGGTGACGTTAACCAAACAACTGAAAAAAAAAAAATTGCCTCTAGATAATAATGGGCCAGCCAAAATTTTACATATTATTTTCACATATGTACACACATACAAAAAAAAAATTCTTCTTAAAAAGAGTGATAGGGTGGAAAGAAAAAAATTACATAGATAAGAGTAGTATTTTTAAAACACAGCAAGTGTTCAATTAAAGCTGATTTAAAATGCACCATCAAATGGATTTAATCACAGGGAAGAGATTACCAACTAGGAATGGAGGCTGTGCAATCTAGAAGATAGGAAGTGGGTGTGGGGGTTGGATGAGTTTTTAAGACATCTGGACACCTGTCACCAGGCAGCTTCCTGTGCACATGGTTGGGCTTCTGGTTTACCTCCTCAAAGCCTAGAACAACGTTTCCCATACACATCTTAGCTTTGACATTTAAGAATTTTGAGATTATACCAGAAGTAAAAACTTAAACTGGGGAGTTTTTTGTGATTCTCTACAATAAAAGGGAGAAAAATAAGTGGCTGTGGTTTTAGAAAGTTTGAGAGAATGGCAAAGGAACTGATGCTATCTAGAAATAAAGATCCACAATCTCTTAGCTCCTTTGCACCAAATGCATTTCAAAAATGAGAAATGCTAGGCATTTAGAATTATAATTCAAAACACATGCTGTATATTATGTAATGCCCCCATTGGAGTCTGGGCAGTACTCCATAATCAAACATTCACATTTCTGCAGCTAAATATATAAACATTTATACCAAATGGGATAAACAAAAGTGATCGGTGGCCTCATATCTGGTCATGCAATGTTTTGCTGCCAAGAGAATTATGCAATGATTTCCTGCTTTTAGACTTTTTTATTTAAATTTCAGAACTGTGACTGAGGGGTTGTGTCCTGTATTCCTCTTTCCAATGCAGCATCACATGCAAATTTCCTAAGCATCAGTAATTGATGCACTAAGATTAGTGGGGGGGAAAAAAAAAGGTGATAACACCCACCTCTGAAAATTAAGGAGTGAGGGCTTGAAAGGTGAAATGCTTTGGTATTACATTCAGCTCTTGGCACAGGGAAGGGCTTATGATCAAATAGTGGGAAAGTACAAAGAAACATCACACCAGCACTATGGTCAAGGTCCAGCTCTCAGAGGGAAGGCAATGACCTCATCACCTGCCTCTGCCTTTCCCATGAATACTTTCCTCCATGGTATTCCAACTGATGGCCTAGGAGTAAATTTCACAGATCCTCTTACACGTGCAGGGAAATTTCTTAAAATTTTTAAAAGATACAAATTATTTATACAATGGTTTAGATATGAGGTGTCCTCCAAAAATTCATGTTTAAGACAATGCAAGGAAGTTTAGAGCTGAAATGATTGGGTTATGAGAGCTTTAACCTAATCAATGAATTAATCCCCTGAAAGGAATTAGTTGGGTGGTGACTATAGGCAGGCAGGTAGGGATGGCTGGAAGAGGTGGGTCTTTGGGGGCATGCTTTTGGCATGTATATTTTGTGAGCTGAGCTTAGTCTCTCTCTCTGCTTCCTGGTACCATGTCCAGAGCAGCTTTCCTCTGTCACACCATGTTGTGCTGCCTCATCTAAGGCCCAGAGCAATGGAGTCAGCATTCTATGGACTGAGACCTCGGAAACCATGAGACCCCCCAATAAATCTTTCTTCCTCTTATTGTTCTTGTCAGGTCTTTTGGTCACAGCAGTGAAAGAGATGACTAAAACCATCTTCTAGAAAGTGATAAAGTTTTTCTCTTTACTTTTTTATAATTTCTAAGTAGAAGTGTACAAAAGGCCAAGATTCCTTTCATTCTTGCACTGAATACCCACTCCCTACTTCAACTATGTGGCTAAAAACTGAGAGGAAGGGAGAGATATAACATATCAAAAACGAGACAGCTGGGCGTGGTGTGCACACCTGTAATCCCAGCAGCATGGGAGGCTGAGGCAGGAGGATCTGGTGTTCAAAGCCAGCCTCAGCAATGAGGAGACACTAAGTAACTCAGTGAGACCCTGTCTCTAAATAAAATGCAAAATAGGGCTGGGGATGTGGCTCGGTGGTGGAGTGCCCCTGAGTTTAATCTAAAAAACAAAAACGAGACAAAACCTGGGTGAACACTCCTTCCCAGAGCATAGGATGCCAAGAGGTGGTGGAAGAGGCGACTTTGCAACAGAGAAATTTAACCAAGTGCTTCCCCAGCCATGTGGCCAAGGCCAACATCAACAGTGAGGGTGTATTAGTCAGAGTTCTCTAGAGGAACAGAATCAACAGGAAGTATGATTATAAAAGGGGATTTATTAGATTGGCTTACACATCCTGGGGGCATGCTGGGCAGTCCATAACAGCCGTCTGCAGGCTGGAGAGCTGGAAGAACCAGTAGCTGCACAGTCCAAGAGGCTGAAGCCTCAGAACAAGAGGGATCAACCACGCTACCCTGGTCTGAGACTGAAGGCTTCTGGAAACTCCCTGGAGAATCACTGGCAGCGTGGGCCAATTGCAGCAGCAATCAGGAACCAGTTCAAGAAGAGTGAAGCTTGCATCTGCTCCTGCTTCCTTGTTCTTCCAAGCAGTCATCCCACGCTTAGGGAGGGTCTCTACTTCAGTTGGCTGTCCCACATGCCAATCATTCCTAGACACACCCCCACCCATAAGTGTCTTAATCATTGGCATCTCTTAATACAATCAAGTTAACAATTCAAATTAACCATTCCAGAAGGTCATACTCAGAGTATGCACCCTTGGCATGCTGTACCAAGAAGAGCACTTTACTTCTGTGATTTTCCCTGCCCCCCAAAATCAGTCTAATCATGAGAAAGGCTTTTTTTTTTTTTTAATTGAGGGTTAATCCACTAAATGCCTGACAAGTACTCTTCACAAGTGTCAAGGTCATCAGGAAAACAAGGAAAGTCTGAGAAGGAAGTCCAGAGGGGCCTAAGGAGTCTCAGGGATGGGATCCTGGAAGAGAAAAGGGACATTAATTAAAAACTAGGGAAATCCAAAGAAAGTATGAACATAGTTAATAATAATGTGTCAGTGTTGGGTCATTAGTTGTGACAAATGTACCGTACTAATAGAAGGTGTTAACAGCAGGGGAAACTGGAAAGGGGCATACAAGAACTCCTCGTACCATCTTTGCAATCATTTTACAAATCTAAAACTATTCCAAAATTAAAATTTATTTTAAAAATTACTATTCATAATATGCCAAATGTATATAATCAGACAGTAAAATGGAAAAAATTTAAATACATGAAGTATATTTCTAGATGTTTTTTTCTATATAAAATATACAAATGTAAAATAGCTTGACTTACAGAAAATATTATTAAAAGACTGTTCTTCATTGTGATTTGTAAAATGTGATTTCTGGTTATGCTCATTTATTGTGATTTTCATCTTTCCTATTAAATCTGGAAAAAGAAGACTGTAGATTTGGGGATTGTATAAGATTTTATCTATCTTTTTGTATCATGTTCACAAATGTCATTCATGTAGTGGAAAACAGAGTTAATGCCTCTGAATCCTCAGGTCTCCAAGGAACTCTCCTGCCCACCAGGTTGCCAGGTCATCTGCAACCTCAGGTGCTGAGGACCACTGTTGGTGAGCTTGGCTGTCCTTCACTTAGACAAAGCGTGTGGGAGCCTTCGTTTCTGTCAGACTGTATCATTCAATATTAATGCAAGACACCCCTCCTCAAACCACAATTAATGTAACTTTTAAAGGGATGAAGAATATTTTTAAGTTACAACATCTTTAAGACAAAATTGAACTGTTAGAGGTAATCTCTTTCCATCTCCTTAAACCAGCCCTAGGATGATAGAGCCTTCTCCTTCAATAGAGGATTTTGATTAATCAGACCCCAAGTAGAGTTGTGTAGGGACAAATTATGTCACTTGGTTTCTCTAAAGTCAGATGTCATAACCCCATGCTTTCTAAAGGACTTGCCAAGTACTGTCTCCTCGACTCATTCAAAAGAGCTTAACAAAGTAAGGGAGGAAAGGAGGTGAATCGGATATCATAAAGATGAAGGGAAGATCAGTGGAGTAGAAGAAGAAGATGGAGCAGGTGGAGGAGGGACGGAAAGGGAAGGAAAGGAAGAGTGAATTTGACCAAAAAACACTATGTGTGTGTATCAATATACCACAATGAATTCCACCTTTATGTATAGCCATAGAGCACCAATAAAAAAATAAATAAATAAGAAGTAGTGGAGGGAAAAGCAGTAGGAGAAGGGGAGTAGGAAGAGAGGAGAGAGAAAGAGGGGGCATTAAAGACTAAAATGGAGTAACTTAAATTCCATGCATGCATGATTATACCAAAATGAGCCCAACTATTATGTATAAATATAATGCACTAATAAAAGCATTAAAAAAAATCAAGGGGACTCAGGTTAGGGTGTGGCTCAATGGTAGAGCACATGCTTAGTATGTGTAATGCTCTGGGTGGTTCAACTCCCAGCACAAAACAAAAAAAGAAAGAAAATTTAAAAAAAAAAGGACTCATAGAACCCATTGCTTTGGAAGCCCTGTCTCCGTAATGACAAAGGATTAGGCTTATAAAGAAGACCAACTGGGTCTTTGCAGATTAGCAGTTACAAAAACACAGAAGTCTTCCTCCTCCAGCCCTGTGTGGACTTCTCTAAAATGCAGACAGCCCCGCCCCCTCCTCCTCCCAAGCCCTGCCATGAATGCCCTGGGGAACCAGAGCCCCTCCCTTTTCTGGCCAGCGGTGGCACTTGCATCCAGGATGTTCTTTGTGTGAACAGACTGTGCTCCCCTTGTCATGCCAATAAAGTTACTGGGAGGAGGAGTTGTGACAGGTTAGGAATGCTTCGGGAACAATGAGGGGAATTGTGCCCCCTCCCCTCTGATTCTTTGAAAGGTTTGATCCCTCTGTGCCAAATGGAGAACTTCAACTCTCCTATGTCTTCATTTGGCAGGACAAGGGAAACGGTAAGGAGATTACAACTTTAATACAAGACTTTTCTGTCCAGAGTAAAATCAGCCTTCCCCATTACCTTCTGCTCTTTGCTTCACTCCCAGAACCAGTGGCATAATCAACACACCAACCCAGGCAAAAGGCTGAAATCCATGGGGTGGCAAAGACTCTGAGAAGCCCATGATCACTGCAACTAGCTCAGAACCTCCTGAGTCCCCACCATCTACCTTCCAGCTTGAAACCTGCCATGCTCTGTGGAACCACGTGTAGCCTCAAGGGTCTGCTGTACCATCCCCTCTTCTATAATGGCTTTATCTCAATCCATCCCTTATTCTCTACTTAAGAAATTCATAACTCTCCAGGGCTTTTCTCTTCTTTCAGTATCAACTTAATCCATCTGATTACGTTGTATTATGATTATTTGTTTTCATTGTTTTTATTTTCTAGCAGACAGGATCTCCTTATCAGATGCACTTTTCTATTCTAACTTATACCTGCCACAGAGCGTGTGCTCAATAAATGTTGATTAAATAGATGAACAAATAAATGAGTATTAGAGGCATCAATAGCAGGTAAAATCTAGGAATGATGCTTGTAATAAATTCTTAGAGAAGAGCAGCCTCTTCATTAGCCTTGAAAATGAGTTATGACTGATCTGAGGCTAAAATCTAACTCTGGTTTACTAGTGATGGAACTCAAAGTGGGCATGTATCCACAGTTTGTCATGAAACGTAAATAACAACTCTGGAAGACCCCCAGGAAGGCTTTTGCTTTCCTAAGAAGCATAAATGTGTGATGTCCCCTTTCCATTCTTTGTCTTAAGCAGTTTTCTATTTCCAATGCCAAGTTTAGTATCTAACACAAAGCAGGTGCTCAGATGGTATTTGATGAGTGAATGTGTGAATTGATAAGTACTGGGGTATGAATTGTAAGCAAGATTCGAACACCGCCATGAATGTGGATGTGACGGTTGGTGCTGCAGAAGACATTTTGCTACCAAGAAGGAAAGACTGAGCATCCTAGATATATATTGTGCTGCTGAACAGTCCTCAGAGCTATTTATCTCTAGACTTCTTGTTATGAGAGAAAAACCACTATTGATTTAAATCACCATTAGCCTTTATTTATTTATTTATTTGTGGATACTTACCATCAGAAGCATTCTAACAGCTATAGATGTCATATTATTTTCATCATTGCCGTTTTACAGTGTTCACACCACTCTCTCCTATGGGTGCATCTCATAGTATTGAGAGATCTCATAGTTCCATGGAGAGAAAACTTGAGATTTTCTAGATCTATAAATGTCTGCATTAAGACTTCTGGTATAATCTAGTTGTTCATGAGTGTATCGGAGTCATACAAATAAAATGTTTCATTGCAATGTGATATGTGCTCTACTAGGGTTTGGATAAAGTATTCAGCAGCCGAGGCTAAATTCTCTCACTAGGTGTTTGTCACTCCAAGGTGTGGTAATAAAACCACCGAGGAAATAAAATAAATAAAATCTTTATTATTCTATGTCCTTGTGAAGTAGTTTTATACATTTCAAACCAAAACAATTTTAAAAAATGATTATTATCCAAGTTGACTATCTCAGGGCAGATCAAAGTTTCATATGAACAGCTAATTTCCTGGGGGGAAATAGACTCACAGCTTTTCCTAAGACCTTCCTGTCTCCCCAAAACAACTCTTCCTACTTAATCTCTTCCCAAACAAAGGTACAGATGGGACTCTCCAGCACACTACAGGGACAGTCAACAATCTCATCAATGAGTTATCCATTTGACTTTCATTTTTGTCCGTCATAGTCTCCTGAGACAAATAATATCACACTCAGCTTTCCTGGTAGGTGTCCCATTTTCTCACATCTTTAAATACTTACCTGTGGGTGAATATGCACACCTTTTGGGAGCTTGTGCTTTATAGTAAAGTAGGACACTACACTCTAGCTTTTTGATCAGCATGGGCTCCCCAGAATTACTCTTTTATCCATATTTCTGGAAGACAGGACATTCCACAGGTCTCCAAGGGGCTAAAGTGAGTTTCTATGATCAGAAATAGCACTTTGAGTAGCATGTTTTCTTATTATAGAATTACCTTGAGCAATATAACAAAATATTTGTTTTTCATCAAGAAAGATAAATTATAGCCACGATGCAAGATTTGCCATCTGAAGATAATGGAAAACTGAGGAAATCTGAAGCAAGTATTATATAATAACATTTATAATATTACAGTGTCTGTATTTTATGGTTTTTAAATTTTTTCCATATTTTATTGGTGCATTATGATTATACATATGGTGGGATTCAGTGTTTCATATTCATTCATGTACACAATATAATCTGGTCCATATCATTCCCCAGTAATTTCCCTTTTCTTCCCCATTCCCTCCCCCGGTCCCTTTTTTCTATTATTTTTAACTGGGACCCAAAGACACTAAATGTCTCACCTGATTATCCGTGAGAAGTTGTTGGAAAAAGCAATGCAGATGCCTTGATTAATGGTCCAATAAAGCCTTTGAACTAGTTCCTGGAACTATTTGTAGGAAACTATAGATCTACTTACTTCCACCCTTGCCTTGTGTTTGATTCCTCTGCCTGAAATACTTTCCCCACCTGCTCTTCCCTGACCCAACACAGAGGGGACCAGGCAGGTATGAGACCAATGCTTGCACATAGTTAGTGCTTAGTAAACACCTCTTTCCTTCCCTCCTCCCCTTTTCTTTATATTTTATATTTTATATAGTGCATAAATTAACTATTAAATACTAATAAATGCCTGTATGTGATTGTTGCCCAAAACTAGACATTATACAATTGTTGCCTGCAAAAAAAAAAAAAAAAATCAAATTTCCTCTAACCTGGTAAGTCATTTTTAAATGTGGTGAACCATCAGGAAGGGGTTAAAGCAATAGGTAAAAGGGGGAGCCTAATATATGTGCATAGGTATCTTTAAGGGGTCATGCCTGAACTTTTCAGAATGAGAAAAGAACAAAAGCACAAGGTCGGGCA